CTGAGTCGCTTCCGACCGTTCCCGTCGATTTTCGTGGCTGGCAAATTGGGAAGTCGGGCAGCTGGCAAATGGTTTGGGAAGCTTCTGCGAAGGCCTGGTCTTCATGGAAAATCGGCCGGTGTCTTTCACTTTTCTGCCATGGCCCATGACTGGTTGACTACGGCAATGCCAGGCTTTATACCAGGGGCTTACATAGACTCACATGTTGAACCTTAACATACCAGTAGCTTGCAACTAGATGTCCAGGCCGGTATGCGAAGGCCGCCCGACGTATAATTGTTTGCGCCGCCAGCCACTTGCAATGAATTGATTTCATGTTTCCCGCGGTGCTGGAGGCACAATGTCTGGGAAATCTCATAGTCTCCGACCGCTGATGCCCGCAAGGCCCTAGAGGGTATCAGTTGTGTTTGGTTTCCGCAAGGCTGAAATCATTTGGGTGTGTCTTTTTTGGGCAGACCTCCCAAAATGGTTTCGGTTCTTTTGGTTTCCCTTTGAAACCAACCAAAACAGGGTGCGCTTAAAAAAGACACCCATTTCAGCACACGAAACTCGCGGAAAGCTTGGCCTGACACCTCGACTGCCGGCTTGGCATCCACCAAACTGCCCTGGGCAGCTCGGCGTTTTTGGTCTCTGAGGTGCTCAGAAACCCGGAGACAGCTGCACGTTCTGATTTTGAGATCTGAAGAAGCAAGTGGTGCTTTCTGTGCAACGTCCAGTCAAGACCCCTCTACTCCCCCACTCCTTTGGCGGCAAATGTTCATGAAACCCAAAGGTTCCCCAAAAGACATTCTCATGAAGCCCAAGTTCTCATGAAACACAAATTATCTGTTGCAACCTAGAAAAACATGTTGTTTTCAGGTTCCACGTCAATTTTGCGCAATGTCAGTCTCCCCCCCCAAAACATATCACCTGGAAGCAACGGTCTTCGAGAAATCCTGGTTGGCCTCACGAGTAGGTCATTTGTCTGCCCCCTAAACGCCTGTTACACTTTGGAGCAACATTCAGGGTGAGCCACCTGAAAAGGACGATGGCTGATGGCTTTTTCAGGATGCTAAGAATTAGAAGGAGTACTTCAAAGCAAAATTCGGTCGTGTTGACTTGGTGGCTCCCAGCCATTCCCTTAGCTTCTTAGCTTTTTAGTGTTCAGTGGTTCGGTTTCTATTTGAGGCGCTAAAAACGGGGCTGCTAAATTGCCATGTTGGGGGGGAGTCTGAAAATTGGGCACCCCCCCACTAAAAAATATTCACTCTTAGCGGGGGCTCCTCACAGGGGCTCCTCACATGTCCTCTGAGCACCTCTCTTTCACATCGCTAGCGAGCTCGAAGTCCATGTTTTGCTATCGTAGCTGGCCGCGGGCGTGTGGTTTTTGGGAGGCTCGAGTAGAAAGTTTCGTCCTGAGGGTTTTGTGTAAATCTTGGGGACCCAGAGTTTGACAAAGAACAAGTCTGGCTTGCATGGAATCGCCGGGATAGCTTCTTGTCTTAGGTGGCTCAGTCTTTCAGGATTTGTTTTTTGGAGGTTTCCCATGGAGCCCAAAAAGCCATGGATCTCCTTTTGGGGGAACCCCGGAGGTTCACATCTGTGGTTGAACATCGCCTTGGATCTTCCTGGCTGCAAACTCACCCCCAACCTCCCACCGGAAGGCTCTGCTCAGATTTGTTGCTGTGTTCGAGACGTTTCAGACAGAGCCATGTGGGTTCTGTGTTCGAGAGTGTGCACGTGTCTGTGCCTCTATCTCTTCAAACTCCGGAGGAAGGCCCGCAGTGGGAAATCTAATGTTGACCATTCATCGGCTCAATGGATTGAGGCTCGTCTTATTCTAGGAACCCCCTTCCGAGCTTCCCATGCATTGCCTGCGCAACCTGCGGTTCATGGAAGGGTTCCGCCGCGGATCAGCGTTCCGCCTTTGTGATCCTCGCACCTTTCCAAGGCATCGGATTCATTGACGCACCTTTTGCGGGGGGGACAGGAAGGGGGGGGGGGCGGGGAAATGGGGGTGGGTGGGTCATCTCAGGCTAAAAACACATTTGTCAATCAGCCCAGGCATACTGGAAAGCCTGCACAACTGCGGATTTAGCGAGAGGTTCCATTCACAACACTCTTGGCCCTACAAAAAGTCAGAGTTTTTGCAGGGGAGTCAGCAGCAACCGTTATCAACATACTTTTCATACCGGGTTTTTGGTAATGACTCACCAGCGCTGACCTCAAAGCTTGCTTCTTCTCCAATTTTCTTTTTCATGATCCCGAGAAAGCGGCATCTCAGCGCTCATTTCAGGGGGCCAGGCAACCATTATGGTCGTGGGCTCAAATTTGGGGTCCTGAAGTACTTTCTGTGGGTTTGATTGCGGGCAGTTTTTGAGCCAAAGACATGTTATGTAGGAAAACATGAGCTTGTGCCATCTTGACGTGTTGGTCTTTGAGAACAAGGTACCAATGATCCCAGAACCATTTGCTGGCATGGCCGCCTCATCTTTTCTCTTTTTTTGACCACCAAATTATACTTTGTTCAATGCACAAGGGCAGGGGGTGCGTGCTGGTCGTTGTTCCAGGTGCATGTTTTTTTTTGTTTTTTTCGGGCCACCCACTTGTCGCTATTCCACATCCATTAGTACTAGGTGAATATTTGGGGATGTTTTGCAGAACCAGGAGCCAGGTCAAGGGATGCACACACAGCAATGAACTGCTGTGTTCTGAGCTTTGGGCTTTGACTAGACGGTAAGGTTCCTGTTGTGGTTAAACAAAACAAACATAACAATATAAAATACACTGTTTGTTTTGATAATTGCAACCCAAACTCATTGGAAAACCCAAAGCATCTTCCAGGGACAATTCAATGCTCTTGTGAAAGGGTCGAACCTCATAGGGGACAAACGCCGATGCAACCTGAAGCTGCAAGCTTTAGTTGTAGTGCATCGACCTTTGGTCGGGGAGTCTGATGTTTTGTCTTGAGTGTGTGTGTGTGTGTTTTTTTCTGTCCGTAGTTAGTGCCGGCCGGGCGGATCCACAAACAGAGTCTTGGTGGTTTGGATTGGCAACTGGGATTTAACCCCTGGCGTACATGGGAAACCCCTCCTTAACCACCACCAATCCAAGCCACCAAGAGGGAAGCTGAGAGTCCTTCAATCAACTTCCCAAAGCAAACTTTTTGGATTGGGCACGTCGAAAACTGAAGATCGATATCCCGCGAGCAAAGCCGATGCCCTCACCATGAGCTGCATGGCACGTTCGCTGGAGCACATTGTCTGATAAATAGGTGCTCCCAGTCACGTCTTTTTTTTTGGAAAGCCCAGTCCAAAATCCAGCCCAAGTATTCCGAGGTCAACCTTACGGGGCGACTCGGCATGTCACCTTGCGATCATCTGAGGATCACACGAGGCATGCCTAGGACTGCTCCAGCAGTCGACTCTTAGGACTTTGGGCAAAATCTGTCACCCGTGCGTGGCCCGCAGCCGGCGATTGCGTTTTAGTCGGCAGGCGTGATGGAGACCCTGCGTCTCAGGTTTTTGAAGTAGAAATCCTGTCCGGAGACCTCCCCCCTTTCGGGAAGGATCAGCGCGCAGGTTCAAGTCACGCCTTGGGAGAGAAGTGCGAGAAGTTCTGCAGATCGCAGATCGCGCCTCGCTTTCTCACTTTCTCACAAGTGCCCCGAAACCGATCCCGAAACGGCCATCATAGTGCCAGGTATGAGCCAGTAGGCCATAGCTTCGATACAAGTAGCTTTCGGGACGGGGCTTCCCGCCCACCGTGGGCGAGAGCACCAAGCCAGGCAGCTGGCCGGCCTTGGTGTCTCCCCGAAACGGCTCGGATTGGAACCGTCCAAGTTCCCATGGCACTCGGGGCGCTTGTGACTTGTCCCCATTCGCTCGAGTTTTACTCGCACGACTTCGTCCATGAACCGTCCCGACCCGACCAAATCGGCGCTTGAGGCCCTTGAGCCGACGTGGAACACTGAGAGTCTGAGTCCGAAAAGCCGAGAAAAGAAAAAAACGGGAAACAAAAAGAACTTCTTTTTTTTAAGGGACAAAAACACCTGGAGGTGCTCCCTGTGTGGGTCCAAGCTTTGTCCAAGTTTCCAGTTCGAGGCGTCCAAGTCCGAGAGGGTCCGAGCCTCTTGCTCAAACCCCCACGATCCGTTGAAAAGAGAGCGAGCCGCCAGAGATCTCCAAGCAGTTCGGACATTCATTCCCCCTTTCCCCGGTTCTCAAGCAGAAGGGGTTGCAACCCCGGAATGGAAAAGAACAGCAGGTGGGGGAGAGAGATCGGTACGCTGAAGGACCGCGGGCTTCACGGCCACGGTACGTCTCACGGGACCACGAGCATCATGGGCATCATGGACACGGGTTCACGGGCACCAGGGGCATCACGGGCATCATGGGCGCGGTCCCAGAACGTACCTGCTCCGGAAGAGAGGGTACCCTTTGAAATAAAGGTTGATTTAAAGGGAAACCAGAAGACGAAAAGGACACCACCCATTTTGCGTGCCCATGGTTTGGAGACAGAGGGCGGCCTGGTTGCGCAACACACATTTGCCAAACTCTTGGGTCGTTAGCATCGAGGTTAGATGCAACGCATCCCTGGTTGGAAAGCCGTTCAAGTAGCCAGAAATCTGCATGGGTTCTTCTGTGCCCGTTGGGTTTTTGTAAACACCCATGCATTGGATTTTCTTGGAAAGCATAGAAACAGCCCAACGGTGTTTGTACAAACCCAACGTACGTGAAACTGAACAGAAGCAAAGCTTCGTGCCCCACCCAAACACGACCGAAGCAGGTTAGCTGAGATGCGGGACACATCCTCCAAGAAAACCAGGGGTGCGGGGGGGTCCCCAAGATTCATCTGGTCTCTTTTTTGGGGGACCCCGCACAAAAAGTTTTGTGGTTTTCCTTTTGGTTCCCTTTAACAAAAACCACCAAACAAGGAGTAGCCTCGAAAGCTGACCAGCGCCAGATTTTTTTCGCATTCGCGGCCGGTCGGCCGGTCGGATGCCCAGCCCTTTTCCCGAGGTTGGCACCTGAAATGCCAGGTGGGGAATCTCCAGAAGACCTGAGCCTGGCCGGCGTTCACGTCCCTGGTTTTGAAGCCAACTTAGGGGCTGATTCCTTTTCCAGTCTTTTCAACCATGATTATTTTCAACAACCGGAGCCGTTTCTGCTGGGTTTCCGGAGGTTTGAAGGTAGCCTTAGAATTTGAATTCTTTCCAGAAACAACACACACACAACACAAGAATGCGCGTTTCCTGCAAACGTGAATGGGTGCAACCTTGAACAGGCTGGTCTTCATCATGAGAGTTTCTGTCCAAATGAGACTTAAAAGGAGGAATGAAATGAGACTTACTGTCCAAATGTCATGACCATACTTTAAATGGGATAATATCTTTGATTGTACACCTTTCCACCATGACCACGATGGAGGTTTAGCGTGGTTGCCTTCGGGATTTATCCGACTGCTTGAATTTCACAATTCCGTGGGCTTTCCTCCCAGTGTCAATGCATTGCCCTTGGTCTGCCAAACTTGGTCCGAGTCGAAAAGCGGGTTCGGCACCAACTGGTGGGTTCTCACCGCCTTGCAGACTTTGAAGACAACGCAGGATACGCCCAACGATCCTATGGGTTGCTCCCACCGAAACGAAGCAGGTCGCCTGTTGCCAGGACTCTGAGAGTGCGGAGCTCGGTGACGCCGCTGACTTCCCGCGCTGATGTCCCGGTTAATCAAGAAATCAGCCAAATGCCCACGAGATTCGGAGGATTCCCCCAAAGAAAGGTTGCTGGGGTAGACTTCGGATACATTTCTCATTTTACCAGTGACTCAAAGGGAAGCAAACAATAGAATATGCATTCTATAGCTGGGCCTAAGTCCAATCATGGTTGCTTGGGGAAATATTGTCATATGCAGTGAGCCATGCATTCGCGGCAAAATTCATTGTCGGGGTGCTACCGGCATTGTAGGGGTCGGATCAGGTTGGAGGAAACGCACCTATTGTTTTGCATGTGTTTATTCTTGACACCTTTTTCGCCAGGAAGGGGTAAAACAAGCTCGCCCAGGATGGAGGATGGAGGCAAGTCACTTACGGGTCCCATCCATGCTTGTTTCACCTCACTCCCTGAATTTCGGAACTTTCAGCTTTTGGGAAACCAGATAGCAAGTATACACACTTTTGCTGACCAGTCCTCTCAGGAACTAAATAAATGAACTATTATACCAAATGCAGATGTATCGTGTCCCTGCTCGACCATTCAGCAGAAAATTGATGGACGTCGATGGGACCACCACCATCGCCGCCGCCGCCGCCGCCCCCGTCAATGCCACCGCCACCACCACCGCTACCACCACCGCCGCCGCAAATGTCGCTACAAGCCATTTGCAGGTACATGACTGCTCAAGGGCCACCCTTTGGCCAATAACTCGATTGTGGATAATTAGTGCACCTTTGTCCAACAAACTATCCCTAGGCTCTTTCAACTCGTACCAATATACCCCAATGTCAGCTCTCCGCCAATATCCTATGGGACCTCTCCCCTCTTGGCGTTTCCCTCGATGTTGGTGGAGTCTTGGGGCTTGAAACCTCGGTCAAGTGAGTGGGAACTCAGATGAACCAATCCCTTTGGGGGGTAGCATCTTGGATCCGCTTTTCGCTTTAGGAAGCACCCGTAGGGGAGGGGCTTCTTTTTTTTCCCCGGTCCCGGCTCAGTGGCCAGTCACTCTGCCGAATTCCAGGCTCCCAGGGCTTTAATGCTCTCTCCTCTCAAAGTCAACCGGGTGATTCCTGGGTTCTCATTCCGTTGCTGTGGCTTTTGGCCCTGTTTTTTTTTTTCTCGCTTGAATCAGATGATTCGCTGAGGTTTTCCCAGATCACGGGCCTGGGACCTAGCACTGGCCGGGATTGCTTGGAAGCCGGGATGTCCTTTCAGGTCTTTGGTTCGGTCAGGTCGTCTTGTTGGCTTGGAGCCCATGGCTTGCGTTACTTCTTCCGAGTTCCTTTTGCTGAGCCCCCAGCAACCCCTTCCTTCGAGAGCGGGTTGTGTGGGATTTGTTTGAAGGAAGTTCACTGAGCTGAAAGTCTACGTGAACCTGGGGTGTGCGTCTGTGCGTTTGTGTTTGTGTGTTTGTGTGTGTGTGTGTGTGTCCTGCTTGAGGGTACAAGTTCCGGCATCCGCTTTCATGTTTCGGGACAATGGCAATTTCACCGCATCAGCATGGCACCTAGCACACCCAAACGGCCACACTCTGGAGGGAGGTGTTGCGTTGCTGCTGCAGTTGAGGAACGGTCAAAGGTGTGTTTTGGCTCGCCTGGAAAGCATCAGACTTCCTTGCGCAACCAAGGTGCGTGGAGTATGTCAGCATTGGTTTTCGAAGGTTCGGGCCAACCCCAAGATGTGGTCTCCTCTTTTTGTGGGGGTGCCCATTTGAGGGAAACCCCAAGGACACCCACCCCATTTTGCAGGTCCCCTATTTTAAGGCATGTAACACCAGTGATTGAAGCAACCTTTGGGTTTCCTCAAGGGCCCTGCGAACTTCGAAAGCGCTTTTGTCAGGCTCGGCGCAGAGTATTCCCAGCTAGGCGGGTGGGCGTCGGTTTTGAGACAGTCAGAGTCAACGGATGGAACGGGCCGTAAAGTGAAAGTGTACAATACATTAGTTGAGTTTCTTAGTCAGAAGGGTCAACAAAACAATTGTACAGCATCCCGAGTTGTTTGCTCCTTATACCCATTTCGCAGTCCCCATGAGGTGTTTCATGCTTCAAGTCTTTTCGGCCGAGGCTTCCAGGCTGAGAAACGTCTCAGACTTTGGAGTTGAAACCATCGGCTGGTCTTTGTGACCGAATGGCTCCTCGATTTTGGGAAAATGGCATGTCCATGCCAGAGATCGACCTTTTGCATTTTGGTCGTTTTGGGCAATCCGCGAGATTCTTAGCTCGGGTTGTGGAAGGATTCGGTCTTGGTGGTTTTGCAAGAGTCACGGTGGATCCACTTTGACCAGCCGAGTTTAGAGGGTCATTTTGAGGATGTCAAGTCCATGATTCCTGTTTTGTTGAAGACTTTTGTGGTTACGCCAGCGGTCAACTTTTCCACGGTGAGCCAATCGATTGGTCTTTTCGTTTGGTGATGTTGGTCTATATATTTGCCATGGTCCCAAAACTTGCCTCTGCAGATCAACGTGAAGCCCAAAAGGGGCCTCATTGTTTGGTTTGCCAAATGTGGACCAACCATTCTTTGGGTTGGCTGCGGGCGAAGAATAATTACTTCTGCAACCGGTCAGATGGTCCTTTTCCGATCAGTGAAAAGTTGCAGCAAGGGCCACGGAACTTGGAGCAGATGCCTTAGCGCTTGAGAGGCCAGCCGGTTTCTTTGGTCCGGGGCCGTTGCACTCGAAGCCAAAGCCAGGCTGGCGGAGGGGAACGAACGTCTGCAGGAGACGGGGACCCATCGCTCGCTGTGGGGGACGGGGAGGGACGAGTGGGGACCACTCCAAAGGCCACGGGAAGGAGCAATCCTTGGGTACTGGAGGAAGAGGACCAGGAAGAGAACGGAAGAGCAGTGCTAGCCAGCAGAGGGCGCCAAGTGTTGGCTAGCATGCTAATCAGAAGAAGACGATAAGAAGAGCTATACATGCAACAAATATTCGCTGAAGATAGCGCGAGAGAGGGCTAGAGAGAGGGAAAGGGAGAGGGAGAGGGTGATATAGAGAGAGCGAAAGAGGACACAGCCCGGCGAAGGGCCAGTTACGCTTTCAAGGCTGCTGGCTCGCAAGAAAACAATAATTCAGGGTTCAGCAATAACAGGAGTTCATACTTGCGGGCTCCAACAAGACGCTTCAATACCTACACCCAGTGAGGCGGGGCAGCCCTGCGCAAATGGGCAAACACGTGCAAAGTATGCGGTTGTGTGCGCGGGTGTGCTTGTGCGAATGGTTGGTTTGAACACATCCAACAAATTAGTAGGGGCTCCCTGTTGGCTCCTTTCCCAGTCCGCTTCATTTGTCTCGGTTAACATGCGTGTTAAGAGTAGCAACAGTCAGCGCAAATGACTGATCAGTGCTCAGATTGGAATCTGGGCACAGCGATCTTTGAATCCGTTGCTATTGCAACGATGCTTGCCGTTCGCCATTTTGGCGAAAAAGGACATAATTTTCTTCCTCACCCTCCCTCACCTTTTCACTCATGCCTCCACCTATAGATCGCTCCCGCACCGAAAGCCAGTGGGACGGGGAGACCCCCCGATGCTTTGATGTACCATATATTGTGTGTTTATTGATTTGTACCTTCTTTTGAGTCGCAGATGTCTGAGACACATCACCTTCGACTTCAGCGATTGAAAGATCGACCGACAGGCACAACCCCACCCATCAGAGGACATGTGGTGAAAAAGATACGTACCGCTGCTGGTTGCAGCCATTCTCGCTGGAGCGTTTCGTTGTTGCTAGAAGGCAATCCTAATTCCTTCCCTGCGAACGGGGCTGGCTGCGTACCAGAAAGGGTCCTGAGTTGATTGGCCAAGCCTCTATTTCGGGGTTTGGATTTCTGGGGCTACCATTTTCCGCTTGGTGGGGTATCACAAAGTGCATGTGCAGCTGAGATTCAGTGACCAACTTTGCGTTTCTGGGCTTCGCTTTTAAACGCAAGGCGAAGCATTTATGGGAGTCCACCGGTGGCTGTGTGTCTAACACCTACTTATGAGACTGGTGCTGTGGATTTGCTAGCAGCACTGTCCTTTGTGAGCACGCGGACCTACTTCCTTCACAACATTTTTCTAGGCTTGCACAAGAAGTTGCGACTTTCGACGTGCTTCCTTTACCAGTTACTACACTTGTACTGAAAAGTTACAACTTTCTTGCCGGAGCTGCCAAGTGCAGTTGCCTTGCTACGCTTGTGCTGAAAAGTTGCTTTGTTCGAGCCGGAGCTGCCAGTGTAGTTCCTTTTTTCTACGCTTGCACTCAACAGTTGAAAGTTGCGACTTTCGAGCTGGAGCTGTCAAAGTGTATTCCGAATCCTCGTGAAACGCAATAGCACGCACAACCCTCAGAAACGATGAGTTACAAAAGACCGATCGCCGCTACCCAATGTCCTTCTGGTGTCTACTGAGTGAATGGAAAGACATAAAAGACATGGGCTCCTTGGTCAAGATGATGCGCGGGCCGAATCGTAATATACATGTCCTTTCTTCTGATTGGCATTGCCGAGAATAATTTGTTCCATGATGCATGGCATGGGGCTTTACATCCCCCATCACTTCATGATTCACAAAGGGGTTCCAGAGCAATAATACTACGGAAAACTCCGACCTCCTCAATTCCTCATCACCATGGCCAAACCAGCTTAAACGATCAATGATGATTTGCTCTTCTTCTTAAGTATTTGCTGAAACCGCCAGCAAAGATGACGTGGACCACCATTGGAGTTGAACCGAAAAACCCCCGCATGGCCCGTTTTTTCCTGAAGGACGAGTCTTTACTTTCCTTCGACGTGGAGGCGTGGAACCGAACCGCTCTGAGTCCCAAAGCCACGTACGCAAAAACGTGGAAGAAGGTTCATGTGGGTTCGTAGCTGTTTTTAGGAGTCAAACCCTGGAAGAAGCAGGGTCAAGCTTTGACAAACAGAAGGGTTTAGAGGTTGCAGGATGGTTTGCAAGGACTGCAGGAGGATCACCGTTTGCTAAATCCCCCGTCATCATAAATCTGAGAGACGACTGACCGTTGTTGTTCTGTGAGTGGCCAAGTCAATCTTTGTTGAAGCGATCAAGTAAGCGTGGGACTTGGCATGCCACCAGCGCACACATGCCGTAAAATTGGGTTGTATATATATTATCTAATATATGGGCATGGGTCAAAATCAGACCACCGCGGGACGGCAGGTTTTAGTCGTAGTTTCTTCCATTTTTTGGGTACCTCTTTTTGACCCGGCCACATCCACAATATGTAGATACATCTTCGGGTTTCGAACTCAATCAGCTCGAGTCTCATCTGAACGCAGAGTTCTGGAGGAAACCCCGCATTACATGTTTTATCAAAAAGGACGGTTGGAGGTTCTACAGGATTGATCAAGGGAAGTGGCGTGTTCGTGCCCGAAAAGGATGCATGGATCGCTACGCAATTAAGGATGCCAGCAGTCAATGAAGATTCGAAATAATTCACTGAATCTGAAGATGCAGATACACTTACAAACTTCCATTTATGAGTTAGAAACCACACTTTGAACAAAGACCTTTTGGGACATGTGTTTATTTCCCTTGCCAGGAATCACTAGATCCTTTAAACACTATGAATTCTGATGCCTCCTCCAACACGCCACAAGGGTTTGAGAGTCTTCTCCAAAATGATGTTCCGAAGTTCCTAGAAATAGTAAGGGAGAATCCCAACCGTAAATGGGTGCCTGCGCCGCCTTTTTAGTTCCTTAGATTGTTCTGGGTAGACCTTCTAATAGCTGTGTTTGACTAACCCCATTCTGGTTTTGAGCCTTCGCCACCTTTTTTAGTTCCTTACAGGTTTTGATTATGACTCAATTGGATTCTCCCCCATTTTTGTTGTTTCGAGAAGAGAGACCCCGGCCAAGCGCTAAGCGCTAGGCAGACGGGGAGACCGTGACGGTCGAGGCAGGACTTTTTTCGGGCTGATGGTTTTCTTGGAGGGACGAAGGGTTACTAGGTCCCCCAGGTAGGTGCCCTTTCTCACCCCTTTTTTGGTTGGGAGGGTTCCCCTACTAAAATCGACTACAGAAAAAGGTTGGTACCCTTATTCTAACCTCTCTACTGCAGGACCTAGGTTAGTTTCTTCTGGTGTCCTTATGCTTCCGATCAGGTCGTGGAGCACAAGTCATTGGTTGCTCAAAGCGTCAACTCTTTTGGAACATGTCCTTTTCCCACTTGCACAAAGCGAATTGAGCTTGTGATCTTTTAGTTTCTCCTGTTTGATCCGGTTCCTAAAAGTTAGGGTACGAAGCCACTTTATTCAGTATAGAAGACTGTGGGTAAATATTTAGCCCCCTGTCAGAGTCCCTAAGATCGTCTTTGCTTGCCTCAATTGCCGACCTGAAGTGGCAGCAACTCATTGCCATTGCACTTCTTCTCTCCTTTCTCCCTGTTTTCTGGGGTCACCTCGAAGCATATTTTATGTTTTGGGAAGCGCGTTTTGGTGTACCCCAGATTCTGGCCAAAGTTTCCCGCCTTCCCCTTTCCACCAAGCCCTCAATGCTGGGTTTTTCGGTTGCGAATCTGAGCTTCTCATCCATGGGGAAGAAAGGCTTAAGCTTGGTATTTCTCAAAATCAGGAACCCCTCCAGGAGGTTGGTTTTCCTTCTTTTTCCCTTCAAACCATACCATACCACAAGGGATCCTAATTCAGAGAAATTCCAAGCCAACCCGGAAAGCGAGCAACACACAACTGTTGAGGGTCGAATCCAGATGCGCGATTCGAGCGCGCGACCGGAGAATCAGGCGATGCTTCCGCAAGAGAGGGACTTGGATTTGATCAGCCGCCTGCTCGCCGAGAGCCGCTTGGCCACACCCATCCTTTTTTTTGTTGCTGGTTCGATATGCAGCTAGCAGGGAATGACACCTAGCCATATCTTGTTTGGCAGGTTTTTGGGGAGGCTAAAATGAGGCGGGGTTGCTATTGTACCATACAACAACGAGCTTACCAAGCAAACGTTTCGGTTTCCATAGCTGAGGCTCACTGCACGGGTAGCTTTGGCGTAAGGGCGCCAGGGGCAGGTCCGCTTCGCGATGTCAACTTGTCCTTTGGGGCTTCGTGCCTTTTCAAGGCATTCGCATCTGTCTGTTTCCGTTTTGCCATTTGCACGGCCCTGCGCAAACTCGCATGTGTGGTTTCTTTCTCCTTGTCTTGGCGGCCTCACCTCGGCCTGTTCAGGACACCATGAGGGGCATGATTTGTGGAGCTTTCGTCCAGCTGCACCATGCAACCTTTGCACTTTCCAGCGCATTGCCCTTTGTGGGATGCTCTACTACGTCAATCTTAATCCGACCTGTTGGTGGCTTTTCTGTGGCTTTTCCATGCCATGTTGGATTCTGAATCCGGCGTATGTGCTGCAATATTGGCCACCAGCTCGCTTGCTCTATTCGCTGTCTGCAGACCATGGCATGGCATGGTGGCTTCACGCCTTCGGTGGCCTTGCGGGTTGCGCCCAGCCGAGAGCCCCGGAACTGCTTGTGGTGTTGCTTCCTCATCAAGGTATCTCCCTTGAAGTCTGGCCTCGGGAATTCAATTTGCCCGCCTGGCTTCTTGACTTGGCACAAGGCTTGTCGGGATTCTGCAACGACCTGGCCTGTATGGTATTTTGCTGCACGGGCGAGTGACGAAAAGGGCTGGCTGCAAGGCCTGCGCTTTGTGGTTCAATCACCTCTAGGTCCCCCAGTAGTGCCCTTTTGCCCTTTTTTGGGGGAGGGTTCCCCTACTAAAATAGACTGCAGCAAAAAGTTGATACCCTTATTCTAACCTCTCTTCTGGAGGACCTGGACCTGGCGCTTTATGGAGGTAATGCGTGCCGCCTGTTGGCGTAATTTGCAACCCTCGTCTCTTCACAACTGATGAAGGGACGTCTCACTTCACCTTTATGCACTGGGGATTCGTGTCCGCCAATTGGATGCGGTCTTTGTTGGTATTATTTTAAGCAACCAAAAGGAAAACCACAATCTTTTTGGCTGACACCCACATGATGCTCACCCACAGGAGAATCTGTTTTGCAGATTTAGTTGTCCCAAGAAGGAGCCCTCCAGGTTTACGAATTTGCCATCCTGTCGTGTCATTTTGCCAAGAAACATGATGCAGGAAACCTACATATATATGAACAGCCATTGACAAACAACATATCAAGTGCACAAATCATATTTTCGCCGTTTGTCCTTCAGTTTTCTTGATAGGGGTTCTCTTGGAAACCACTTGGCAGGAAAAGCATTTGGCCTCGCTTCAGGCTTCATGGAAACCTTGCAGCCTTGGATGCTGCCGGAGCAGCTGGGGCTGCTCGCGAAGGCCAGCGACCAACGGGTTGAGTTTGTGCCGGTTCCTGCGCGTTTTGGTGCGAACAAAGCAAACCTGCATTCCTTAATTTATCAGAAAGGGAACCTTTAGCAGTTCATTGAATTCTCAACTTAAATCAACAAATCCAACCCAAGAGCCCGTTGGTTCGTATAGTTCATATTTTCCAGGAGCCCAAGCACCCACCCAAGGTGCCGCAAAGGGAAAGCCCCAGCCCACCTCTAGGTGGAGGCTTTTTTTGGGTTCCGCGCCACGGAACATTTGACCTGCTTCCCAGTTCCTTCCTTGGCCCTCAGGATTCCGAAGGATCAGCCTTTCGTTTCCAGGCAGCGAGAGCTTGAGCTTGTGCCAGGTTTCCAAAACGGAGGCTTCGAATAGAAGGTTTGCGTTCGGAAGTTCGGACCCTTGGAAAAAAACAAGAGTGTTGTGGAGGCGAAATGATGCACAGCTTTGCATTGACCCTGCCATGCAGCATGAAGGTAAAAGCAAACAAATAAGTGTTGTTTGATGTCGGCCTCGTTGAAAACCGCTGACAGTTGTAGGGGCTTGTATATACGCATATACTTGTTGAACATATGTTTGTGTCTAGCAGTACAACATGATGGATAAAACACCATTGATATTGGTTGATAAATCCCTTGCCCATTGCCAATATATATGTATATATGTGTGTGTGTGTGCATGGACAATGCATGCATTTGATTGTTTCTATGGCTATTTAATTACGCGCCCCTCATGTCGCGGTCGCCCAAATTGGACCTTTCCAACAGCGAATCCAGGCGCCGGCCCGCCGCGCAGGCGTGGAATTGGCTGGTCTTCGAGTGGGAGCGCCAGGCGGGGCGCTGCCCTTTTTTCTCTCTCCCAATGGCTACGGGGCAGGGTCGTGGAATCAAGGTTGTTTTTTTCCCCACTTCTGTGATACAAGTTGGGGGGGCTTCCCCCTTTCCTTGGGGTCTTCGTCTTTGGGCAGCCCTTTTTGTTGTATCACAGAAGTGGTCATGTCCCACAACCCTGCTACTGGGCTTCTGGGCGAAAAAAGGGAAAGCCTTTCCGAACCATGAGGACAAACAAGGTTTACATCGACCACTGGGAAAGCCTTATGAGCAAAACTACGAGAAACGGTTTGAGTTCTTCTCGTTTGGTGTGTGAGTCGAGATGCCATTTCTTGAATTGGCTTTTTATACGGAATGTTCCATAGCAGAACCTCAGGATGGATGGTGTCCTTGAGGCTTCCCTTTCAAAAACTCCTTGGGAATCCTTCAATCACGCACTCAAGCGTCCGACTGCTGAGATCATCCTGGCTGCTCTCAACGTGAACTACAAGAAGATCTTGACCGCTGCTCGCCGTTCGCCTGATAGGGCTTTGCTGGAAACCTTCAGCTCGGCTTTTAACTTTTGCCAGGTTTCATGTGACTTCCAAACTAGGGCCGATCGGTGCAGTTTCCAAACTTTTCGAACTGTCGGTTGCCAGTTGTCTAACATGAACAGGGAACACCTGCCTTTTGTGGTCGCCTTGTCCTTTTGGGCCGCCAGTCAACGCGGGTTCTGGGGTTTGGGAATGCAGTGGTTTTGGAGTTTCCCTTCAAGGAAGCCATAGGAGATGGTTTTTGCAAAGGGTTGCAACTCATTTCCTGCATTCCCAGCAGCAAGAAAAGGGGCTCCATGTTGCAGTTGCGAAGGGCCCTCTTTCAGGTGCCGTGCCTGCGCTTAGACCGTGGCTCATCGGCGGGAAAGCCGTGCGTATTTCTGAAGGATGTGTTTCCAGATCTGGACAGGAGCACCAATACAACTAAATTGTGACTTAGGAGACATCTTGGAGGAGGCATAAGGCAATGCACATACTGAGTGTATCGAAAGCAGGCTATGCATCGTTTGGCCACCGCAATCTTTTATACATGTCCGCATGCCTGCAGGAAACCATCAAATGATTGAAGCCAAACCCCAAGGCAAGCTCAGATCTGAGGAACCCTAAAACACTGGGGTGCAAACCGGCACAAACCTAAGATATGAGCAGAATATCCAGATCACCAAGTGAGCCCTTAAACAAGAGGGTTGAACTCGCCCTATGATTGTCAGACATACGACCTTGGGTTGCCCCATTAGGTGCTTTGCTCTACCTCTAGTAGGTTGTTTGAGGTTTCCGACCTTTTCGGGGAGATTCCCTGACAAGCACAGGAATTCTTGGCTAGCCATTTTGCGGCTAGTCAAGAATCAAACGAACCCAAAACGGGACCAACATGAAGCCACCAGGATTTGGTTCAACTGGCTTGGATAGATGTATCTGCGAGCTGGATCTTCAACCCTTTGTGAAACATGTATGCGTTTCCAACCCACCAACACATGCATTCCAAGCCCAAGCCACGAAGACTCACCGAGGCCCTAGAAAAGCTCGGCCTGCGGACACCACTCAACGCTTTGCTTGGTTTGTTGGCGTGTTTCTGGTCCTTAAGACAATGATTCACAGCCCATTCGCAAGGGGAGCCATGGGATATGGGCCTTCCTAGGTCCTTGATGGCCCCTACTAAGTTGCTTTGGCTTCCAAGTCAGCGCTAGAAGGGCCTTGACAACTAGAATGGGATGGAACAACTTTAAGCACACATTCAGTCATTTGGGGAAACCGTTAAGGGTAAGAAGACTGGCTGTAGGAGTCACGGGCAATTGAGTCATAAATCATGCATCTCATGGGTAACTAAGTCATAGGAGAAAACCATCACAGGAGTTATCCTATGGCGCCTGTGGGAAGGCATGTGGAAGATCAGTTTGCTCTTGGAGGGCCCGGGTCCCCGTCAGGTTCCATGTTAGTGGGAGACAGGGCAGCACAAACCAATGATTTAATCGTCATGGGTATGTGTCTGGTGCGATAGGCAGGGAATGAGGGAATGTCCCCTACAAACCATGCCTTGTGTTTTTCTTTGAGGGGATGTCCGGGTTCAGTACCTCATTCCCTACTTATCATCGCACCAGCAAGTTTTAAGCCCCCCCCCCGACGGCATGCTGTTGCTTGTTCGGCGCCTTGAAAGCGGAAAGCAGGACGGCGCCGTCTCTGCGAAGGCCCATCGGGTGGCAGTTTGAGGCCGGAGCACTCTGCCGGAAGCATCAACTTTGGGTTGCCACTTTCGAGTTTCCGAAATTGCGGCGTTTAGGGAATGGGGAGTCATGTTGCCCAAATCTGCTGTATGCGTTTGGCCCAAGCGTTGGAGGGGTAAAACTTCGAGGTGGTTCTTGCCGTCCAAGCACGGGAGCCTGACTTAGGGAGTCGTCAAAATGAGAGGGAGTTCTTCTTTTAGACTTCATGCTTACCGATCCAAGTCCTTCCAGACCACCAACACAGGCGGGGGAATCAGCTGGCTTTTGACAGCGGGAGATCAACCCCGAGAAGGGTGTCAAACCAGGGCCCTTGTTATATCAGATGCTCAGTGGATCTCCTCTAGATCCACTTCGTTTGGCGGGTTTCCGAGCACGCCCACACTGGGATTCATTGTTTACCAGGAACACTGGCCAACAGGGTAAGGTTAGGACCACTCATTCATTTGACAGGGTCGTCCTTTTGGTTGGTTTCCTTGAATTTGTCATTTACGAACCTGACCACTACATATACTTATTATATATATATATATATGGTACAGCTTTGCCAGCCCCCCCCCCTCCCCCCCCAATGGTCATGGGTCAGGCAAGTACCCCCCCCCCCCTGTGGTTGTGGTCCTGTGGTTGGGTTGTGGTTTAGGGTTGGTTTAGAAATGGTTTAGGGTATATTTAGGGTGTATTTAGGGTTAGTTTAGGGTTGGTTCAAGGTTGATTTAGGTTGATTTATGTTGATTTAGGGTTGGTTTAGGGTTGGTTTAGGTTCAGAGGTGTACGGTTTAGGGTTTGGTTTAGGGTGTATTTAGGGTTGGTTTAGGGTTAGTTTAGGGTTGGTTTAGGTTTAGGGTTTATTGTTTAGGGATTGGTTTAGGGTGTATTTGGGGTTAGTTTAGGGTTGGTTGAGGGTTAGTTTAGGGTTGGTTTATGTTGATTTAGGGTTGGTTTAGGTTTAGAGGTCTACGGTTTAGGGTTTGGTTTAGGGTGTATTTAGGGTTGGTTTAGGGTTAGTTTAGGGTTGGTTTATGGTTGGTTGCGGGTTGGCTTGTCCTGGGGGTGGGGGTGTCGGGGTGTCGGGGTGTCGGGGTGCGAGTTCAGGGGTCGGGGTGGGGGTGGGACCGTAGGTGCCAGGATCCGGGGGCTCGGGGTCTCGGGCCAGGGGGGGGGGGGTCCTGGGGGACCATACCATATGGGGGGGGGGGGGGTAGCAACACGGAACACGGGACCATACATACATATATATATATATATACATGTATTGCATCTTATGCGTATATATACAAGTGATGCACTCCCTGATTTGGATGGGAGTAGGATTCGTTTGACAAGGAAAGCCGGCTTCTTCGCCCGAAAATCCCCGAACGAACCACAGGAAACGGCTCGGCTTTGAAAAGCAGTCGACGGAATCAGATCCTAGAGTTGCAACCTGTCACGCCATTAGCGAGTTGAAAACACGCAAAAGCGTACACAGGCACACCACAGCACACGTACAAAGACAATTGCGCACACGGACACACACACACACACACACACACACACACACACACACTTATCTCGAGAGGCTTCACTAGCCGAGATGAAAAACGCAGTCAGTAAAAATGCTTGAATGCAAACGCAAATCAACAGGTCACAACATCGACACCGAACAGGAAACAACAGCGACAAACAGAAACCGCAAAAGGAATCAGGAAAGAAGGTCAGGAAATAGGCAGGTACGCCGGATTGATCAGATCCGGTATCCACCGAAATGCCGTAGCTTCATTGGACTGGATAGGCAAATCGGCTCCAGTCCCCCTGCAATGTGGAATTTCCGTCCGTGCTCCAGGACGCTTCACACACACGGAGCCCCAACTGGGGCGACATCACTTGTGCAAGGCCCATTGAGTCTTGCAAGCATCAATTGTGCGAGAAAGTCTTGTGGCGATGACTGACCACACATACTTGGCTTTGGAATTGGTCTTAAGGGAACGGAGGAGTTCAATCTCTCCCTCAGTCCAAGGCTGCGAGGCTTCAGGTTCGGCCTCAGTAGAGGCATCAGTCCTGGTCGATGTGGTAGCTTCGCTTGGTCCACGAGCAGGTTTGGATGCCGTAGATCGTGAGGAGGCCAAATCACGTGTGCGGCGAGCTCGTTTTTTGTCGGGAGAAGACGGAGGAGGAGTGGGCGGAGCCCAATGATCAGGGAATTGTTCGTCATGATCAGTGGGAAGGTGTTCATCTGGAGCATCAGGAGGTGGCTCAAAGAGGTCCTCGAGGGGGGCCAGGAGGGGTGTTGGTGGTGAGTTGGTCAGGTCCTCAATGGCGGGGTTGAGCGTGGCCTCCGGTGCCAAATCAGGTTCGGCAGTCGGACTCTCAGTGAACTCGCGGATGGTGGCGATGCCTTGTTGGGCAATGCCAAGGATGAGTTCGAAGTCTTGGAGCAGCTGGCGTGCTGTGTTGGTATCCATGCTCGCAACGGATTTTGGTCAAACAGTCAAACAGCTGCGGCACGAAAATCAGGTCAAATCTGTCAGGATGCAAAGGCAGAGAAGAAAACCAGTGTGGTTTCGCAAAGGACGGTTTTTCTTCTCTTTGTAAGGTGAAACCGTGTTGGAGGTACAACCTCTTCAACATTGCAAGATCCTGATCTCGCTGAAATTCAGGAAAGGAAACTCGGCTGATCAGCGTGCGTCTGGAATAATATCCAGATTCCTTATGTATCATTGGTGCGGCTGACTTGACGGAGAGCATGTTGTGCTTCTCATGCGAGGGAATGAAGGAGATGGTGCTGCTTGTGAGGTTCAGTCGGAACCCCAAGAAGTCCAGGGCGGCTTCTGTTTCCAGGAAGATGTCTCCTCCATAGAAGTGTTCGTCGCACAGTATGTTGGCTGCCGGAGTCGAGAGCCACCTGGGGGTTGCGATCACGAGTCTGTTGTCCACGTAGCGGAGCAGGAGAGTATCTTCAACGGAGCGAAGTCCCGATGTGGTGTGAGTGTTGGTCCAACATTGTTCGGCGACCGCGATCACCATCAAACAGAGAGCTGGGGACGCGGGGGATCCCATCGGTGCCCCACGTGTTTGCCTGAATGAACGAAGGCCGACAGAGAAGATCTGCATGTCAAGGGTGGCCTGAATGATCTCGGGGATGTCGTCGAGCCACAGGGTGCGTTGTGTGGGTTTGTGTCGGCGACGGCGTCCGTTGTAGACGCGGGTGATGGCAGAGGTGTCAAGTGTGTCCACTGTGAGGTGTGTGGTAGAGGAGTGTGGTTGTCGTTGTCGGTACCAGGTTAGCAGTAGTCGCCAGGCTGCTAAGAAGCGGTCTTTGTCGATGGAGGTGAAAAAACCGGAAAGGTCCTGGTTTCGGTAGTCCAAATGGGTGTGGCCGAGGCTTAGAAACTCGTGCAAGGACCGCATGAGTTCAAAGAGGTCGCCACCTGAAAACGCGTCAGGGCAAGCCGTGGCCACCATGCTGTGGAGGAGCTTGGCGAGAGCGTCGAGCATGGGTCGGAAGAAGGCGCCAATGAAACTGATGATGGGTCGGGCAGTGGTCCAGTTCTTCTTCCTCTTCGGGAGGATGTAGGCGTTGGCTGGCCTTCCGAATCCGGTCACGGCCCAAGGATAGCGGCCGCGGAATCTGGTGACAATGGTTTCTCGTAGTCGTTGGTGGATCTCAATGGCAGGGACCGGCAGAGGGGCGAAGATGGCAGGGTCCGCAAAAGTGGCTTCCAACATCTTGCCGTAGAGAACGGGACAATAGATCATGAGTCGGGAGTCCGCATGGTCTTCGCAATGGCGGACAAGGGGTTCCAGGGTATGCAGAGCCCGTTGGACGTGGGCGTGAAGAAAGTACTGTGATGTGTGTGAAAGGTGGAGGTCGAAATGGAATTCGACAATAGTAGTGAGGGTTGATGGGTCGAGCGCGGGTAGGTTGTTGGTCCTGGCCCAGTGTTGAAATGCCTGGGTCAGGCGACTCATCAAGACCCCTCGTGGAGGAAAGAAGGAGTTGCGCATCGATCCGGATAGCATGTGGGCAGTGTCGGAGTCGAACAGCTCATGGGTGTCTGCACCGGAGAAAAGAAGGTGTCCGTCATGCTTCGGGAGGGATGGGTGTCGTTGGGCGAGGTCGGTGCATGTGCAGGTCGTTTCACCGAGACTCCAGGTTTTTGCTGCCTGGAGATGTGAGAACAAGGCACTGGAGAGTCTCCGATGTGCCTTGAAGACAATGCGTGGTTGTGCCATGTGAAACGGTAAAGCGCTGCGAGTGGTAGATCGAATAAACCCGCGAAGTTGGGTTAAAAGCAGGGATCGGAAAGAAGGATGGGCGAGGAAGGGTGCAAGCATCGGTCTGGAGGGGCCAGGTGGAATGAGGCCCCGGAATCGTAAACTGGATCGAATGGCGGAAAGGCATGCCTGGTGGTGTGGTTCAGGCAGGTGTGTGGCTATGCGATGAAGGACATAGAGAGCGGCGGGTGGGAAGTCTCTGCTCCGTATGTAACGGATGGCATCAAATCGTCGTAGAGTGTTGCTGCCAAGATCGCCCAAAAATCGCCACAAATCCAGGCGGTTGTTCATGCGCTTGGCCAGGAAGGCCTGTTGTAGGGCGATGGGTAGTCGTAGTCGGCGGCGTTTTCGCCAGATGGTGGCGAAGCCCATGTGCCGGGATTGGGAGAAGTCCAATTGGCGTGTGAAGCCCGTGCGTGGCCGGAAATGTCTCTCGATGAAGCCAAAATTGAGAGACGGTTGCAGTTCCTGGATGTAGAACTGTTCAGTGGCAAATAGGTCCGTTGCTGGAACGGCAGTGTGAATGGGCACCGAGGTGTAGTGGTGGAAAATGTCAAAATGTGCCCACCACCGGACTGCTAGTTCGGCATTGACCAGATGATGTCGCTGAACTTGGAGTAGTTTGCGAAGTCGGCTGTGGTCCCGTGCCATGAGGGAGGTGCGAGTGGCTCCGAGGTAGAAAAAGGTCTGCCACTTTGGATGGCTGGTGAATCTCAGATAAACCGCTGAAGGGACAAG